TTCTCATATTGCACACCGTATTCAAGTGTGCCTGGAGTTGCAGCGGGTCGATTTTCAGGTAGGAGGAAGTCTAGTGCTGATCTAGGCTTCCATCCTAAGTGCAACTGGTTAGGACTAACGTCGGTGCTACTATGTATAGTATTGTTGTACAGGCTGGCGATGAGAGGTAACTGTTCATCCTAGTCATCCTGGCTGGGCTTGATGTAATGCCTCAGCAAGTGCTGTACAACTCTATTCATTTGTTCGGCCTGTCCGTTGGCTTCGGGATGATTCCCTGAAGTCATCTGAAGTTGACTGCCCATCTGTTCCGCAGTCTTCTTCCACAGCTCACTTGTGAATCGGACGTCTCGGTCACTAATGATGGTCTTTGGTAAACCAAAGTCCCTTACCCAGTTGTCCTTGAACAACTTGATGACGTATTTTGTCCTGGCTGTCTCTGGCATTGGTACTAGTCTAGGGAACTTGGTGAATCGGTCGATGATGACAAAAATGTGCCTCTTACCACTCTTGCTGGTCACTAGGGTGTCCATGAAATCCATGGAAACACTCAATCCTGGACCATCAAGAATAGGTAAAGGCTTCAACAACCCAAGCGGTGCTTGAGTTCGCGGCTTGTCTCGATGACAAACCTGACAGGTCTCAACATACTTCTTTGCGTCATCTAGCATTCTGGGCCACCAAAATCGTTGTACTAAGTTAGCACTCGTCTTTTTGTAGCCAAAGTGCCCAGTTACCTCATGATATTCGCCTAAAAATAAACTACGCAAGGGTTCACTAGATGGAACTACTAACCTTTTTATTCCTGCCTTATCAAGATAGAGTAACCCGTCCACCATCACAAACTCACTTTCTGTGGCCTTGTCTTTTGCCTGAAGTTTGCGCATGATGTCCATCATGACAAGGTCTTCCTGATAGGCTCCCACCAATGATTGAGTTACTTCATTAGATATGCCAAAGTCAGAAACTAGCGCACCTAGGTCATCTGCTCTACGGGATAGCGCGTCTGCAACCTTGTTGTACTCTCCCTTCAAGTACTCAAGCTTGAAGTCATATTGGTCTATGACCTCAATCCATCGCTTGAGTGCATCAGAAAGAGCCGATTGAGTCTTAATCCATTTGAGGGTCTGATGATCAGTCCTCATATAGAAGAACCTTCCCAAAAAGAAGTGTCTCCAATGGACAAGTGCCTTGTAGAGAGCATAGAGTTCCCTTTCGTAGGTGGACTTAGCCAACTTCTTCGATGGCATCTTCTTACTCATGTACTCAATCGGTCTCAACTTTTTCCCATCCAACTGAGCCAGCACTGCGCCAATGCCGTATTGGCTTGCGTCAGTGGTCACTATGAATGGCTTTTGTGGATCGGGAACCATGAGAACTTCATGATTCATGAGTGCATGCTTCAATCTCTTGAAAGCACCCTCGCACTCATCACTCCAGTTCCACGGTGTGTCAAGTCGAGTTAGATCAGTCAAAGGAGAGGTGACTGTAGAATAGTTCTTAACGAAGTTTCTATAGTAGCCGCACATTCCTAAGAATGATCTGACCTCAGTGATTGTCTGAGGTCGTGGCCAGTCTCGAATACTAGCCACCTTCGCATCTTCCGGCCTAATTCCCTCCGCGGATACTTCATGACCGAAGTGCATGCTCCTCGGCAGACTTACTAAAGATCAGACTGTCATCAAGGTATACCACGACAAACTTATCTAAATGGTCATGGAAGATCCGATTCATAGCGTGCTGGAACGTACCCGGCGCATTACAAAGACCAAAGGGCATCACTACAAACTCATACAGACCATGACGAGTCTGAAAAGTTGTCTTGTGTTGGTCCTCAGGTCTTATTGCGATCTGGTGATATCCGGATTTCAAGTTTATCTTGCTATAGTACTTGCATCCCTGCACCCTATCCAATAGGTCGTCTATGCGAGGTAGAGGCTCTGCGTTTTTCACAGTGATGGCATTGAGGCCTCTATGATCAATGCACATCCTCAAAGTACCCCCCTTCTTCGGTACGAATAGAACGGGTGATCTGTAAGGGGAAGTACTAGGCCGAATCCAACCCTTCTATGTCAGCTCCTTAAGCTGTTTCTGAAGTTCATCTAACTCGGCGGGGGCCATCCTATAGATCCTTCCCTTTGGGGTCTTACTCCCTGGAATGATTTCTATAGCGTGGACGACTTCCCTTTCAACAACTCCTGTGGGCTTTTCGAACAGATCAGGGAACTTAGCAACGACGCGTTCTATCTCTGGGGGTGTTTTAACGGCCTCCCCCTTCTCAGAGACATAAACAAGGTACATACCCTCCTCTTCATTTTGCTTGTAATAATTGTAGAACGCTGATGCGCACAAGCAGCCATAGGTATCTATAATGCTACTAGCCTTGAACTTAGTCAATCTGACAGTTCGGCCATCGAGCAACTTATGCTTGAGCACCTTCTTATCCCAGTCGAACTGGGGCTTAGCAACTTCGAGGTAGTACATGCCTAATAACATTTCGAATGGCAAGTCGTCGCTAACCAAGAACGAGATCTTATGGTTAAGCTCACCTCCTCCATAGGAGAAGGTACAGACTACGTCCTTGATGTAGTCTGTTACAATCATGCGCTCCTTGTTGGCCAAAGTAGATGCTACAGGTCTACTAAGGTGCCGTACCCGGTCTTGTAGGTGCAGCCTTTCCAAACAGTCGCGACTTATGTAATTCCGCGTGGAGCCTATGTCTATGAAGGCACCACATTTGCGGCCTCCTACATTGACTTCCACCACGAAATGTTCCCCTCTAGGACCTTTCCTCAGCGCCACCCAAGACTCGCGAGGGTCCTTGTTTGACCACTCACTCTCCAAGTCCTCTAAGACTTCAGACACATCTAACGTACAGAGCATAGTTTGGTCTAGTTGTGTCTGCGGGGTGACTAAGGGGTCATTAGCCTTGGCCTTGTCATGAAGTGGGGAGGGTATCAATCCCACTTCATCTTGAGTAGAAGCAGCTATTACTTCCACTGGCCTCACGTGTTTCCCGAGCTAGAAGCCTGGGAATAAGTTGTCCCCATCTTTGGAGCAACCGTTTGCGTAACCTTAGCGTTCTGGCACTTGTACTGCGAGTGTCCGTATTCCCCGCAGTTGATACAAGCGCCACGCGTTCGGTGGTCACGCCACACGTCTTGATCAAGACCTGCCTTAACCCACTCAGCCTGTTTGGTCTGATTGGAGGCGGCCTTTCCTTGACCCCTAGGTTGGCCCTTTCCTCGGCCAGCCGCCTTAGTCTTGACTACTGCGGCGAGGGTGCTACCTTCAGTCACCTCCTCGCCATCATACTCTGTATAGTCCGTCAGGTCAGAGAGTTCGTCGATCTCAGTTTGAGTCCCATCTAACTCAACCATCATCAACTTAGCCCCCTTCTTYTTCCACTCCTGAGGACTCTTCTTCTTCTTCGAGTCATTCTGAGAGGTTGGTTGAGCATTGCCTAGCGTGGCCTCCAAATCCAAGGCTTTCCTAGATAGTGTCTCGAACGAGTGGTACTCAGTGCGTGCCTCGCTGGCTAGCAAGTTCCTAATGTTTTCTAGGAGACATCTGACAAACGTAGTCAATAGGAACTGGTCGCTGTAGTTAATGCCTGGGACGAGGATCAGGCTCTCAACGGTAGTCGTAAGCTCCCTAACCGACTTGAACTTTCGTTGGTCGAGTTTTTTTAATGGCATCAGTGGCTCTTTGTGCCTCCTGTGGGTTATGCCATCGAGCTTCTACCATTTCCATGAACTGGTCTAACGTCAGAGACTTAGCCCAGTTTGCCATGCGTCTCCCATACCCGGCCTTTATGACTACACTATCTAACCATTTGGCTGCCTTACCCTCCAGGTAAGATGCCACAGTTACCACTTCATCCTCTAGCAAGGTCCTCTTAGCCTTCACCCAAACCGGAACTGACCTCAACCAAGTGTTGAGCTCTTCGTCCTTTCTCTCGCCTGAGAAGGCAAGAGGCGGTTTCATTGGGGTCTTAGGATACCAGTGACCCTGCGGCTGTCCAAATTGTTGAACAGGTTGTTGCGGTGGTGTAGCTCCCACCGCTGGACCCGAAGAAGAAGATGCAACAGTCTGTGAGACTGCTGCAGACGTACCACTTGGCTGTGTGCCAGCTTGTACGGGAAAGGGGCCTGACATCGCCGATAACGGCAACGACAATTGTGCTGGTGGTCTAAATCCTGGTCTTGTCAAAATGTCCAGGATCGGATCCAAAGTGCTCTGCATGAAGTCCAACCTATTGTCCACGTGTGCATGCAGTGACAACATGTTGTCCCTCGACACTTTCATGGGCTCATTCATTCCTGAGTCATCCAAGCCCTCTAACATATCAAGCCTGGCTGCTCTATTCTTTATCTTTTTTTCTCTGTCGGTAGCTTCTTTCAGATCCTTTTCTAACTGTGCACGGATCCTTTTGACCTGTTGGAGCTCTCTGAGCTCCCTCTCACGTGGGGTCAACGGGCTGAACCGTGCGCCCACCATTTGACTAGAAGACTGTCTAGAACCTGTGGAACCGGAAGTGCCCGAGGAACTTGTGGAACTCGTTGGCATTCCCAACTGACTCCCATTAGTCCCTGACGAAAACGCAGATGATGACCCAGCAGAGCTTGGGCCGTTAGCCATCGCAGCTGCTCTGGTTGTTGTTGCCTGCTCTCTAGCTGCTGCGTTTGCTGCTGCTATCCCCGCTGCTAGCGCACGGGCTTTACGTAGCCGTCTTTCTTCTCCCTGTTCTAAGGCCTGGAACACATGCGGTACCCTTAGTGCCTGTGCACATGTTAGTCTCCTACCGTCAGCTCTATCATCATCAGGATCTGACCCACTCATTAGTTAGACAGATAGTGTCTACACTAGAATCCCCTACTGGAATCCTACCGCAGCATGTATCTGACCGACACGTAATTTTCTATAAATAGTTGTGTCCGGCGAGTTCCCAACTATACCGAATCAAGTGGCATGTCTACAACATTCACACAGATTGTCTACATAGTCTAGATGCACCCTGATTGGTTCACTTACAACATCATTAGTTAGAACTGGCTATGGTAGCATACAACAGTCCTACACTAATCTGTCTGTGAGGTTAGCAGTCTGTCAACCAACTAATCAAAGGTACAAAAAAACAATGTAACAGATGTATGATGAGTGGGTATAGTTGTGTATTCAGTTGAGCACCAATTGGAACCTAACCTCCCCTCCATCCAACATACCGAACAGCATCATTGAGCGAGCAGTGTCTTCGTGTGTGTATCGGCCCACCCCTGTGCCCCAGTCAGAGCCAAGTAAGCCAGCCAGCCCACTCTTATTTACCCTCGTACGGAAACGAGCCTTACACCCGGATGATCTGGCTGATCAGGAGGATTATTAAGAGCGCCCCCATCTCTTCAGGAATTGTTTAACGTCGCAGTCAGGACGACGATCACAACCGTAATCATTCCGAGTACCCGACCAGAAATGTTTATAGACGGTCTGGTAAGTGTCTCATACAAGGCTGGCACACTTGGCAAGACTTCTATCTGAGCGCAGCAAGTGCCAAATAGGACAACAGCCATCGCATGCGTGCACTACTCCCTGTGGGTTGCCATGGTGACCATGACCCAGTGCTTCGACCAGGGCCCTTCAGAGGCACCGCCCTTTCTCCTTCCAGATGCTTCCGGGAAGATTGTCGTCTCTCAAGGTAGCGCGCTCACGACACCTCACCAAAAGAGAGGRCTCTYAAGTTGGACTCACTTCCTCACAGTAAGAAGAGATTGAGAGAGTGGATAAGGTAAGGGAACAACGTACCTGGAGATAGCTGCCCCCAACCACAGATTTCTCACCAATTGAGCTGAATGTGCATTTGATGACCGGTCATGACCTCGGTACCACCCACAACGCACTGCAGTGCCACCTCAGCCGAATCCAACATCAGCATGCTCTCATCACCAATCGTACATTCCGCATGTACCCACGACATACACTGTCGTCTTAGCCTTCCGGTGCACCCCTCTCTACCCAGGGCGTGCACCTATAGTGGCCTGTCGTCACAAGTACCCACTGCGAAGAAGCATCGTCAACGCACCAAGTCTGTATAACGCCAGCGTGYCAAAGGTAAGTGGCGATCAAACCAGCTCCGATACCAAATTGCAAGGAACATGAATATGGACGAAGCACAGAAATCCAGATTGCAAAATCACACTGAAGTCCAAGTAGTCAAAGCCAAAGCAGATAGCACATGGAACCGAGTAACCATCGCATTGAGAATGATACAGAAGAATCGTGAGTCGATGTCGATGCCCAACAGGGCAACACCAACAGCATAACCCAAATGTAGCTCTCTCTTGTGAATGGCGCCAGGCGCCCTATCTACTCTACAGCCTAGCCTACAACTACAGCAATGAAAGCAACCAGATAACTTGACTACCAACGAGTGATGATGTCAACACCAATGCCGACCTCCACCTCCACCAGGTACGTGTCCTTTTCACCTACACTCTCCCTTGTACCCACACAGCGCCCTTCACCTCCGAAGACCACCTTCACCCCTCACCTCTCCTGCACCCTCATGCGGCCCGGCTATGGCCGCCAGTGCCTTGAATGCAGGCAGCGCCCTACCGCCTAGCGCTTGCCTGCTTCACCTTAGCGCAGCGCASCACACATGCATCCGCGCAGCGTGCCCGCAATGCCTGCATTGGCGCAAGTTCCCTGCCCACTCGCCCTGCTTGCCTATATGCCAGTGCAGCGTGTGGGCGGCCTCCCTTCAGCCTGTGACCGGGGCCCAAAGGCTGACCCCAACCCGATACAGTTGGGCCCCGGGGCAATGCAGTTGCGCCTCCTTCATCAWGGCCTGCGGCCAGATTCAGATAGTGGGCCGATTTCCCTTTGGCATTTTCGGCCTCTATACCCARCATGCATTGTCGGCCTCACGTTCGAGTGCCCAGGGCCTAACTAACTCAGAGGCCCTGGGCTTTCARCWTTTGCTGAAATCCGAGACTCGGTGCACTCCAACCAACTGGCGTGCTGCAACTGTATGGACCCCACTTCGTGAAATGTTGGCACAGAGGGCTCTTGTTGATTTGCTGGCCCGCCTTCACTTAGGGCGGGCACGAGTCTTGCTGGGGCCTTAGCCCAGAACATGTACATCATGGCAAGGCCCCTACTTGAGGGCTCATTCCTCACAATAAAAAATAAAATCATTTGCTAGTGTGCATGCCGAATGGAAAATTTTCAATAATAAATAATTGAAATGTTTACTGGTATCCTCCCTCCACCTTTAAGTCACTTGATGTCAACGCCTTGAAACTCTGGTTCAGCAGCGTGTCTGAAGGTGTGCAATCGGCCTAGTGCTGTGCCCAGGAAATCGTCTATAACCAGTCCTGCCCCTTCTTTATCGTCGCGTGCAACGAGCCTTACATCCGGTTGATCTTCAGGAATTATTTAACGTCGCAGACAGGACGACGATCACAACCAGTATTCAACTCAGATCCTGCCAGAAATATTTATAGACGGTCTGGTAAGCGTCTCGTGTAGGACTGGTCAGTCCACGTTCCCTCTATAGCGCAGCAAGCAGAACCAAGGACAAGCGGCAAAGCATGCGTGTACAGCGGGTTGGCATGGTGACCTTGACCGAGTGCTTCGTCCAGGGCCCTTCAGAGGCAACGCCTGTCTCCCACCAGCTTGCTCCCCAGGAAGAATGTCGACTCTCAAGGTTGAGCGCTCGCGACACCTCACAATGAGAGGACTCTCAAGACAAAACTCACTTCCTCATGGTAAGAAGTAATGAAGAGGGTAGATAAGTTAAGGAGCAATGTACCTCATTATGCTGCCCCCAACCACAAATTTCTCACCAGTAACCTGACGTGCATTTATGATGACCGGTCGATGCTTCGGCACAACCCACAACACAATGCAGTACCACCTTAGCTTAAATTGCCATGCCAGCAAGCTCTCAACATCCAGCGTGCACCCCTATGTTGCCACATAGCCTTCCTGGCGCGCCCACACGACCCTGGGCCACCTTTCACCTCATGCACAAGCATTATTACTGGCCCACCATATCCAGCGAAGGACCAAACAGCTAT